GTTAGTATTATTTATTCTCTCTTCTCGCGCTCATGCTTTTTGTTCCGACTGCTTTTTGTTCCGATACGAAAGTAACGGAATATTTGTGCTCGGGATGGTTTTTTTTTTCTTCAGACAAATTTCGACTTTTTAACTAACCGTTTTTGACGGAATTTTTTTGTATCATTCGAAAAGTATTGTTGTCTTGAGCTTAAATTTGAAAAGATATTTTACCTGTGATCATTTTTCGTTACAGTTATGGGGGATTTAAAGATTGCCATTTTGGCTAATTTGGGACAATTAACGCGCGATATATTTCGCGCTATTAACGCGTAAGCGGAGATTTAATCCGTCTTAGAAATCGTTCCAAATTAGTTGATAGAAGCTTTTTTGTCATAAATAGTTTGATACAATGAGCAAAATCTATTCTTTTGTACTTTATATGGCTTGTGGGGGATGAATTCAAATTTTAGAAAAAAAAATTTCTTTTTATTTTATTACATTTAATTTTTTCAAGTTACTACTGCTCCATAAAACCTTAAAAGGCAGTCGGAACATTCAAGGCTTCGCCCTGATACGAGCAGTCTTGTTTGCTAATTTGGGCTAGAAATTGCAAAAACATACTTTTTCTCGGCAATGCAGATTTTTCGTAAATTGGAAGGGCAATAACACTACAAATATTATTCGATTCTATCTGTTGTTCATTTGTGGTACCCTCTTTTGCGTGAAAACAAGTTGAAGCCGATTATAAAAATCAAACGCATCCGAATACGAAGTTCCACTCTAAGTTCAACAGTCGGTGCAAAACTTTGTGTTTTTGTGTTTCTTGTTCAAGAGCGCACAAATCGGCATTTTGCAAAAACTATCAGCATTTTTTGACGCCTCAAGATAAAAAAAATCTGAACATGCTCAGTGAAATGATTTCTTCGTGCTTTTTTCGTAAAATGGCACATGCGCCCTTGTATGTGGCTATTTTGGCAATTTGGTTGCATGTAGATAGTTTTCATGCAAGTTTATACATAATGGCAGTTGAAGATTGTTGAAAGAACACAAGGACGCGTTTCCATGTCACTGTCAGCCAGCTAGTGGATTTGTGCGGCCGCAGCTATTGCTTGATAAAAGTGCCAGTGGCTGGTAAGAAGACGAAGGCTACAAATAAATAAATACCCGGATTAGCCTCTTACACTTTTCTACCCTGTCAATCTGGGATGAATTAGTTGTGCAGTGGAAACTGGAAGCAAACTTAATCCACAGCTCAATTCCAAACAATTTCTGCTCATTTTTCAGGGAAGAGAACGCCTAATGCACACAACACAACACAACACAACACAGACTGTCTCTCATGTTAAGCTGCACTCAATAACTTCTAAACTACCAGAAGTGTATGTGTGTGTTCTTAAACTAAAAATGAATGAAATATAACAGAATTTAAGTACTTGAACTATTTGAAAAACTGAAATGGTCCGATTGATCATGTGAGTTAATTGACTGCGCGTTGCCATTCCAATGTTGTTGTCGCAACGAAAAAAAGCTGGTTACACGAAACTCAGCCCGCCTCACTATGTTATAAGAATACACATTGACCTCGAGACTCAAACCATGCGACGCTTCATTGTAATTTTTTCGAGGGCAGTTTTTGTTGTGTTAACTTTAGAAACTTGCGAAGCCTTAAATGAAGTTTTGAAGTTTTCATTCGGCTGAATGGATAGTTGATGAGTGAGCAAGGGTGATTGGGAGAGAGGAGAGAGAGGAGAGAGAGAGAGAGAGGAGAGAGAGAGAAAGAGAGAGAGAGAGAGAAAGAGAGAGAGAGGGGGTATAAAAGACAATAAAGAGCCGGCCACTTTTCCATCTTGCCTCTTCATCCGGAGAGATGTGATTGGTCTCTCGGGAGACACTCGGCCGCCTCTAGAGCCCCCCACCCCCCTTCTCCACCATCCCCTTCACCCCCGTGCCCTACCCCACGTACACTCCCCCCAAAAGAGTCACGCAATGCAATCACTGCACTGAGAGGCTCTTTCAATACAATATACTGTGCACATGTTGAGGGAGTGAAGAGAAAGAGAGCTAGAAAGAAGAGAAGAGAAGAGAAGAGCGGAGTCTGTTTGTATCCCATCCTATCTTGGAATGCCATGCCTTCCATTGTCTCCCTATTAGACAGACACCTTCACCATAATCTCACTTTTTCCTCTTCTCATTTTCATCAAAAAAAAGTATATTCCAAACAAACTTACAATATACTCCCTGCTTCACTAAAAAAGCTAGTCATACAATTTCACACCTGTGAAACTTGCAGAAAAATGTCTGAAATTGTGTGTCTAGCTTTTTGGCGTTTTTTCTTTTTCTGACAAAAAGTACTATTTTGGCCATTTTGAAAAACTGATCTTGACGCTCGAATCTGATTGGTTGAAACTAATATCAGCAACAAAAATCATCAACAACATCCCGGAAGCTCAATCAACAATTGAATAATTTGGGCTTTACAACAGAAAAGACCCTTTTTTCGTTTTATGAAATTGTGTAACTAGCATTTTCTGCTTATGTGAAAACTAATAAACTTTTTGAGCTTTGTGTTAAATTTTGAACAGATTATCGAAAAAAAATTTCTGAGAAAACCAACAGATTAAGTGGCAAAAATTCAAAGCAAAAGTCCCCATGAAAATTACTTTTCTAGTTTCACAAATAATTGTCAAATTTTGTAACTTTTTGTGTACGGCTAAAAAGCTTCTTTTTAAAAAGTTTGAGTGTTTGTAAACT